TGGCTTTCAGAATCTCAGCGAGATGGACGTAAAGAGGAACACAGCAATTTGGCACATCAGTGGGCATTAGGAGGTTCTAATGTGACTAGCGAGACAAGATGGGGGAGGTAATATCTTTTATTAGACCAGCTTCTGTTGGTGAGAGAGACAAGCTTTCGAGCTATACGGAGCTCTTCCTCAGGTCTGGGAAAGGTACCCAGCTAAATATCAGTTTGAACACATAGTTGAGTGCAAGTAGTTGGCACGTATTCTAAGGAACCATTCAAGGTAAAGCGGCCTGTTAATACACCTGTAGTCATAGGATAAAAAGGGGGGTTAGTGGGTTATAGGTTGTTGTATTAAACCCTAAATCCAGTGTCTTTATTAAGCCCGTGGTTTTTAGTGTCTAGCAAAGTTATGAATTGAAGCACCTGGGTTCATCTTTTGTTGTGCAGGTTTCCTTTGAGGATGAGGACTGATTGGTCAGATACAGAGTGATTGCTTTGTGAGAAGTTCTGACTGCTACCCTCCTTCCTGAATGAAATGGCAATGTAAGAAATAGTTACAGAGCAAAAGGAGAGGCACTCAAAATGAAAACAGGGTGGAGATCATAAATTCAGAGCAAAATCAGGCACCTGACAGTAAAGAATTTCATGTAAATGTGATTCAGAATTACAATAAATTATCATTTCTTCCTTGTCTGGGTTTCTTCTGCTGTTCCTGTAAATACAGGAACTTGGATTCTGCTTTTATATAATAGCCTATTTATAAAAAAAAAATAGTGGCATATCTTTTTCTTAGCATAGCAATCTGAAATGTTAGAGTTATCTCTGCATGAACAATCTGTGAATTATATTTGAAAAGACCTCTCTAAGCTACCGTTAGAGTTTCTCAGCTTATTGCTAGTGCTGATTTGCTGAACAGGAAATATTACATGGTGACACTAGCCATGTGTGGTTCCCAGAGTCTGCAGAGCCTAGCTCGGCATGCTTTAATACTAGGTTACAGAATAGCTGACCATTCATGGGAACTTTTAATAACTGCCTCTGTTAGACAGAACTCTGCTGACATAGCATTGGAGATAGCCGTGCTGTAGCTAAAGTTGATATGGGACTTCCATTCTAAGGCGTCTCTTTTTATTTGTTCATAGCTTTTCAAAGTATTTTTGAACCAGCCAGTGTCCAGCCAAACCAAGGCTTGCTCTTGCTCCCTTATTCCATTGCTGTCTTCACCACCACAGCTGCTGGTAGCTGGTCTGCCCATCAGGTTTGAAACACTTAGATTTGTTGTGCAGAGGCCTGAGCTTTAGGTTGTCCAAGGTAACAAAAATCCAACTCAGCCTGTTACATCAAATTATTTATAAAAGTTGTCAAAGGTTGAAGGCAAATAGACCAGGACAACCTAGGTTATTTAGGTTAAAGAACTGTGCTAAGGGATCTTTAAGAGTCTGGGTAAAGTTATGGGTTGGCATGACAATGAGCTAAAAGATTCTAGAAACCAGAAGAAATGTGTATCCTTGAACTCACCAAAATGTGTTTCGATTGGCTAATGCTGATGGAATGAGAGAGCCTCCCATTCTTGAATACTGTTGATCTGGGGGTCACGAAATCAGAGCATTGAGGTGGATGAACTGGTTCATTGGAACCCTTTATATCAATCCGTAGAGAGTGAGTCTAAATTTCTCTAGAATCAGAGACACTTTTATAGCCCTGGGTTCTCCCAGCAGTAAACGATCACTTGGCAAAACACCCACTGAGTTGTATACATAGACAGTGGGGGAGAGAATCTAGCAACCTTCTTTTCAATTAATATTCATGGCATAATTAATTTAATATGCATAGATTCTTATTCTCCTTAAACTCCTCTCAGTATTTGGTAAGAAATATACAAGTTGCATAAGTAGTTTGTAAATTTGTTAGTCTCTAAGGTGCCACAAGTCCTCCTTTTCTTTTTGCAGATACAGACTACCACGGCCGCTACTCTGAAACAAATAGTTCTGTAGGACCTGGCAAGCTTTCACTAAGAAAATCTAATTCTATATTTTTAAAAGAGCAATGTGTCCATCCTATTTTTACCATTGGAAAAATGGGTATTGACTTACCATTTCTACAAAGTGTGTCACTTCCAGCGTATGTATCCAGCCTGTAGGATGCAGCTTTTGGCTGCAGTGAATTTTTATATAGTGCAGAGGCAAATGTGTTACAAAGCCAAACCTTGAGCAAACAGACCACATGGAAGCTGCTGAGTTACCTATTAATACAGACTGACCTCACATATATAGGTGCTACTAAGATTTGGACAATTAATAACTGCATAGCAGTCCTAGCTCTGTGCCCTGGGGTGAGAGCTCATCACACCAGGAAATGAGTCCTCCTCTTCTGTATGCAGAAGCAGAACAGGCTCTTCCTGCCTCTGCCTCTGCCTGACCTCTGCTTCTTACCTCTTCCTACTGGGTCATCCTTAATTATTGCACATAGCATTAGTCCTACTGAAGTGGAGATGCTGCGGGGTGGGACCACCCAAAGTTCTCAGCAGCAAGTATGTCAGCCTTCAAGGGAAATGGGGGGTGGCAAACCATTTCCTCTCTCTCCTCCACGACCTCTGGCAGAACAACTGCTCATCTCACAGTGAGGGCACCACCACCCAAGCATTTAGTGCTGCTGCCAGTCACACCCTATTCCCCTGCCCGCAGCTAGCTTGGGGCCATAAAATCCAATTAAGTCCTCCTGGGGCTGCATGGTGCTGTCCACATATCTGAAACTAATGTTTTCTCATTCCTTACCAGAGCTATGTTGTGTAACTGTCCTTTACTCTTGCTGATGACCTTGCATTACCAAGCCTCATCTGGCCAGATAATGCAAGCCTAATATTAACTATCTGGATACCTCTTGGGATTGCCTCTTCTCACCTTGTAGGGCAGGCCATGTTTGATGCTTTTCACTCTGTGGTGCGCAGATCCTTTTCCAGGTAACATTCTGGTGTGTTTCCAGCCTCTGGTGCACAGCATATTTTTCACACACCTTTTCCTAAACGAAGAGTCCCATTGCTAAGAAAGTTAGAGCACTTCTTTTTGACAAGGCAAGCAGTCCCATTCTATCAGCGAACTAATAGAAATGTAGGACTGGAGGGGACCTCAAGAGATCATCTACTCCATCCCCAATCCCTGTGCTGAGACAGGACCAAGTATACTAGACCATCCCTGACAGATGTATGGCTAACCTCTTCTTAAAAACCTCCAATGATGGAGATGCCACAATCTCCCTGGGTAACCTGTTCCAGTGCTTAACTAGCCTTAGAAAGGTTTTCCTAATATCTAACCCGCATCTCCCTTGCTGCTAACTAAGCCGATTACTTCTTGTCCTACCTCCAGTGGACATGAAGAACAATTGAGCTGTCCTCTTTATAACAACCTTTAATGTATTTGAAGACCGTCAGGTCCCTCCTCAGCTTTCTCTTCTCTAGACTAAGCATGCCCCGTTCTTTTCTCATAGGTCATGTTTTCTAAACCCGTTCATCATTTTTGTTGCTCTTCTCTGGACTCTCTCCAATTTATCCACATCTTTCTTAAAACCCCAGTACTCCAGCTGAGGTCTCAACAATGCCAAATAAAGCGGGACAGTTACCTCCCGTGTCCTCTGTCCTCTTAATACACCCCAGAATGAGATTAGCCTTTTTTGCAACAGCATCACACTGTTGACTGATGTTCAATTTGTGATCCGCTAAAACCCCCAGATCCTTTTCTGCAGTTCTACTGCCTATCCACGTATTCCCCATTTTGTAGTTGTGTATGAGGTGACCTCACCTGCCAATAAACCATTGAACTTTTAGCTGCAGGGGGGCAGGCCGGCTCTGAGAGCAGGGTTCAGGAGAACATCACCAACATCTACTTGCAGATGTACATGCCCCCCTCCAGTTTCCGGGAGGATGTCTAAGTTAGGTGTACAGTTAGGATAATGGTTTGGCATCTTGCTGCTGTGGCAGTGCATGACTTGTTCATTTAGCATCTACCTACTATCCCAGGTATTTTTGTCTCTAGTACTTAGGGACAGATCTGACATGTCAGTACACTTTCCAAGTCACCTTAGTCACCCACGTGGGGACTTTCCTAAGCCCAGAAGGACCATGGCCCACCACTTGGGACAGGGACAGCTGCCTACACCATGCATGGAGTGATTTTCTGGAACCCCACAGAGTGCTTTGCTTGGGGCTGCTGAAGGTGTCATGAGCACGTTCTGCTGGCTAAAGTCACCCAGGCAGCCAGACACTGCTGGAGGCCCTGGGGGCTGGGAACACTCTGTCTCTCACTGTGTCTGGATTGGAGCCATGATGCCAACTCAGTTGTTGTACCAGCCGAGAAATGGAGGCTGCCCTCCTGGCATGCCAAGGATCAGTGTGATCTCTTGGTGTGCAGCACTTTGCCTGTGTTGAACAGTTTCCTGGCACAAAGCACAACCACCAGACATACTGATCCTCACAGATGTGCACACTCCTCTGCTGCCTCCTCATCCTGCATCTGCGCACATCTGCTGCAGTACTGTTGAATTGATCTGCGGTGCCTGGCCTCCTGGATGCATGACGTCCTCTTACTGGACACTTACCCAGATGAATGTGAGAGCAGGCATGGGGGACCTCCATCAGCATTGTGCTGTGTTTTGGATATTGTAATGGACTGCTGCTACTTACAGACCATTCGCTGAGTCTGATACAAAGGATGCTATGACATTGGACAACACCAGGCCATGCATTCAAGGAGGGTTTGGGAAAGACAAGCTTGTCCATCAAATATCCCCTGATCACTCATGAACCTGCAGCAGCTTGAGTTCCCTGCTGGAAAGAAAGTAAAGGCTCTTTCAGAGTCCTTTATAGCATGCGTGCTTCCTCCACATGCATCCAGTGGTTCCAGCAACAGTGATGGCGAGGGAAAAGATCAAGAAGATTCTCTGACAGACCTTTGATTCTGCATCAGAGTTTATTTTAATCTAATGGTCATCAGAAAAGAATTTACAAGACCTGTGCTCATAGCTTGATTATGCCACCGCAGATAGTAACAGAAACACCCTAGAATCAAATATAGGGCTGGTATTCTCACACACTGAATTGCTTAAGGATTCTTAAAAACAACTGTGTTCCGGGAAGATTTGCCTGGATGCCAGTCTTGATTCTGAATGGGTTGTTTGTTAGCCCACGAGACCATGGACCTCACAGGGCTTAGAGGGGTCAGCCTTCTCCACCACATTGTAGCTACAGGTCTCCTCATAGAATATACTTTCACATTTCTCTTCATCGTAGTCAGTAGGGGTGGCAACGCTATCAGTGGGAAAGGCAAAGCAAACACAAGTGTGTGAGATATGTCAGGATACTGCAGAGACACAGCAAATGTGGGGTCTGACTCTCCACTTGGTTACTCTGGGTTTATGCCAGCGTCAATTCACTGAAGCCAGGGGGGACTTACGCTGAAGTAGTGGAGTGGAGAATCAGGCCCTTAATACATTGTTGTGTACCTGTGTGCAGGCCAAAAGCTTTAACTGTTGGCAAGTGGCAGTTATTAGAATTGTCATTGTGCTGTGTGTCCTAGCCTAATGCTATTTCATGATGCTTAGTGGAACTCGAATTGAGCTGCTCTACATTCTGATAGACATTTTGTCTTTTTATCGTCTCTCTGGCAAACCAAGAGCAAAAGTCCATTTTATTTTATGATCCCTGTGTATGAGTGTCATGTCTGGGCAAACCCACCCAGTGTTAGGTTCTGACATTTGGAGCACCTACAGTGCTTCCCTTGGAGGTTTGTAGGCAGTCGTCATTGCTATCAACACTGCCAAATTTCTATGCCCCACTGAACAGGGGAAGGGAGCTAGTTACACATACATACTGTACTTCACTGGGACTGTGTGAGGGTTAATCAGCAATTTAAAAATAAATCATAATGGGGGTTATTATTATTAGGGGTAGAACTGCAGCTCTATGTGTCAGCACACTGAAATGAATTTAAGAGGGGCTTTTAGAAATGCCCTGTGTGGAAATGTATATTGGGTGTGACTAGACATTTTGAATGGTTCAAATGGAGGATTCTCTGCACCTTGAAGTCTTTAAACCACGATTTGAGGACTTCAATAGCTCAGACATAAGTTAGGGGTTTGTTACAGGAGTGGGTGGGTGAGATTCTGTGGCCTGCGTTGTGCAGGAGGTCGGACTAGACAATCATAATGGTCCATTCTGACCTTAAAGTCTATGATTCTATGATTCTATTTAGAGAAGTGTATTTCAGGAGCTTTTCTCACTCCAAATTCTCATATATGTTGTTAAGGGTGTCCCCAAGTTGTATTGAAACAGGTGACCTGCAAAAACACTTCTCCTTAAAACATTCACAGCTTCTCTGACAGCAGATTCTCCTACAAACAAGCATATCTAGGGGACCTTCATTAGCTCCTCGTGAGACATGGACTACTGGAACTTTTTACTTTGAAAGGCTTACTGGCCTAGGGGATGGGGAAAAGCAGTAGATGTGATATACCTTCATTTTAGTGAGGCTTTTGACACAGTCCCATGTGATTCTCATAAGCAAACTGGGGAAATGTGGTCTAGATGAAATTACTATAAGTTGGGTGCACAACTGGTTGAAAGACCATACTCAAAGAGTAGATATCAATAGTTTGCTGTCAAATGGGGAGGGCATATCTACTGAGGTCCCACAGGGGTCAGTCCTTTGTCCGGTACTATTCAGTATTTTCATTAATGACTCGGATAATGGAGTGGAGAGTACGCTTATAAAACTTGCAGATGACACCAAGCTGGGAGTGGCTGCAAGCACTTTGGAGGGCAGTTTTGGAATTCAAAAAGACCTTGACAAATTAGAGAATTGGTCCAAAATCAACAACATGAAATTCAATAAAGAAAAGTGCAAAGTACTACACTTAGAAGGAAAAATTGAATGCACAGTAACAAAATGGGGAATAACTGGGTAGGTGGTAGTAAGGCTGAAAAAGATCTGGGGGTTATAGTAGATCACAAATTGAATATGAGCCGCCAATGTGATGGAAAAAAGGCTAATATTCTGGGCTGTATTAAGAGGAGTGTTGTATGTAAGTCATCGAAGATAACTGTCCCTCTGTAGTCGGCACTGGAGAGGCCTCCACAGGAGTATTGTGTCCAGTTCTTGGTGCCACATTTTACAAAAGATATAAGCAAATTGGAGAGAGTGCAGAGGAGAGAGTCCAGAGGAGAGCAACAAAAAATGATAAAAGGTTTAGGAAACCTGACCTGTGAGGAAAGGTTAAAAAAAACTGGGCGTGTCTAGACTTGAGAAAAGAAGGCTGGGGGAGGGGGGACCTGATAGTCTTCAGATACCTTAAGGGCTGTTACAGAGAGGACATTGATCAATTGTTCTCCATGTCCACAGAATGTAGGACAAGAAATAATGGGTTTAATCTGCAGAAAGGGAGCTTTAGGTTAGATATTAGGAAAAGCTTTCTAACTATATTGATAGTTAAGCTCTGGAATAGGCTTCCAAAGGAAGTTGTGGAAACCCCATCATTGGAGGCTGTTAAGAACAGGTTGGACAAACACATGCCGGGGATGATCTAGCTTTACTTGGTCCTGCCCCATCATCAAGTCCAGCCCTCTGTGCTATCTCAAGGTCCCTTCTAGCTCTGCATAGAGGTTTTTAAGGCCCAGCTTGATAAAGCCCTGGCTGGGATGATTTAGCTGGGGTTGGTCCTGCTTTCAGCAGGGAGTTGGACTAGGTGACCTCCTGAGGTCTCTTCCAACCCTAGTCTTCTATGATTCTATGATTTCTACAATTCTATGCCCATAACTCAAAAAATTCTGGATCAAATTATTTCAGGTTAAATTTTACCTTTAGGCTGAGACCAAGCAAAGAATATTACATGTGCATGCACACTCACACGAAACATATTTCAAAGGTGGGCAGTTAAAAATGGGTGGTGTGTGGAGTTAGAATGGCAGTGCCTTCTCTATCTCAGCTACAACTACTGTGTAGTAGTACTGTGATGTAAATTAGGATAGTCTAGTAGTTGGAGCAGGGGGACTGTTCATGCTCAGAGTGTTTGAAATCACAATTGATGCACATTTTATACATGGGGTCCATCTTTGAACCCAAATCTGAGATCCAAATCCCCCTCAAATTTTGGAGGGGTTTATAAATCTTACTCTCAATCCAAATTGTTGTGGCTTAAACCCACTTTTCATTTATTTATTCTTTAGTATAATGACTTGTTGAGTCAATGTAACAGCAAAAATTTCTCTCAGGAGAGATGTGCCTTTGGGGTATTTGGGTGGAGTGTATAGAACCCATCCTACCATAGCCACTAAGGGCTTAACAAGTAGGCTAGCTACCTCCTCCGCTGCAGCTAACTGCTGGGACATGGACAGCTGGAATAAGAAGGCAGCAGATAAGACAAGGGGTTGCTGCTAGAAAGGCTGGGAACTCTGGAGAGGAGACTTCTCAGCAAGCAGACTGGCAAGATGCTGCACCAGGAGTTGGACTTCCAGAGAGAGACAGAGAGGGGTCTGGAGAGCGTAGTGATGTAGACAGGTGGAGCAGGTAGGAAGTAGGCAGGGCAACAGCAAGGGAAGCAGCAAGTGATTGTAAGGAGCAGGTCCTAGCTCCTTAAACACAGAGTTCCTGGGCAGGAACCCTAGAGACAAGGCTGGGCCTGGGTTCTCTAGAAATGGGGATAATAAAGTATCATAAATATAAAGGGAAGGGTAACCACCTTTCTGTATACAGAACTATAAAATCCCTCCTGGCCAGAGGCAAAACCCTTTCACCTGTAAAGGGTTACGAAGCTAGGATAACCTCGTGGGCACCTGACCAAAATGACCAATGAGGAGACAAGTTACTTTCAAAGGTGGAGGGTGGGGGAAACAAAGATTCTGTTTGTGTGTGTGATGCTTTTGCCGGGACCAGAGCAAGAATGCAGGTCAGAACTCCTGTAAAGAGTTAGTAAGCAATCTAGTTAGATATGCGTTAGATTCTCTTTTGTTTAAATGGCTGATAAAATAAGTTGTGCTGAATGGGATGTATATTCCTGTTTTTGTGTCTTTTTGTAACTTAAGGTTTTGCCTAGAGGGATTCTCTATGTTTTGAATCTGATTACCCTGTAAGGTATTTACCATCCTGATTTTACAGAGGTGATTCTTTTACTTTAATTAAAATTCTCTTTTAAGAACCTGATTGCTTTTTCATTGTTCTTAAGATCCAAGGGTTTGGGTCTGTGTTCACCTATGCAAATTGGTGAGGATTTTTATCAAGCCTTCCCCAGGAAAGGGGGTGTAGAGCTTGGGGGGATATTTTGGGGGGAAGACGTCTCCAAGTGGGCTCTTTCCCTGTTCTTTGTTTAACACACTTGGTGGTGGCAGCATAAGGTCCAAGGACAAAAGGTAAAAGTTTGTACCTTGGGGAAGTTTTAACCTAAGCTGGTAAGAATAAGCTTAGGGGGTGTTTCATGCAGGTCCCCACATTTGTACCCTAGAGTTCAGAGTGGAGAAGGAACCTTGACATAAAGCCTCCCTGAGGAAGAGGGTGCAGGGCTGGGGCTGATGACCCTATATAGGGACACTGGACTTTCAGCCTGTGGGACTCTTTATTATCCTGGAAGGGATGTGATTTATAAGTGACCTGGCTGGAGGGCTGGCGTGATGAGATGAGGTGGACTGTTGCAGGGCCAAACAGCTGTCTGGTGGGGGAAACCTGAGGCAGAGTTGCTGCAATGCCACTCAGGACTGCAAGAGGATGGACTGGCTGCAACGTCACCCATGACAGCTTTGCATTTTTTTCCCCACAGAGAAATCTGAGCGTGTGGCCTGAACCCTGCAGGAAAAATCACTGTGCATATATTTTATACTCACAGGCTGCAGCAGCGCATTATTTTCTTGTGACAGCTACAGCTCTGGCAATCCTTCGTTTTCCATTTGGAGTTAAATTCATGTAGCACTCCTTTCTCATCAGTGCAACCTGAAAGGACATAGCCAACTTGCTGGTACATGCCAATAGTACAATTAACTTAAAATTGTTTATGAAATCTGGGTTTGGTCTTTGTATATTTAATATGAGGCTGGAGTGTAGTTTGTTCTAAGTTTTTTTTATATAGCACCATAAACTCTCAGCCTGCTAAGACCCATTTCCTGCCCAAAGGACGTAACAATCTAAACAAGAGGAGACAAACCAATGTAAGACCCTGGACAATTCAGGGGACAGAGAGGATTGCAGATAAGGTGGGATTGCTTGGAAAGCTATTTCTCTGCTCAGATTCCACTGAATCACATTATTGGCACACATTTTTAAGGCCTGACCTAAAGCCCATTGAAGTCAATGGACAAACTCCTGTTGACTTCAGTGGCCTTTGATTCAGTCCCTAGTACATTTCAAATTCTTGTGATTAAGGCCCTAGCTTGGGACTCAGGAGATGTGAGTTCAATTCCCAGCTCTTCCAGAGATCCCTTGTGTGACCCGGGGTAGGTTAAATAATCTCTCTCTGCCTCCATTCCTTATTTGGAAAATGGAAACTACTTCATCACTGGGGAGGTAATGTTTCATTTTGGGTCAGTTTCCTTACCTCACAGGGGAGTTGTGAAGATAATTAGTGTTTGCAAAGCACTGAAATAATAGAAGCCAGCTAGTAGAAATTTTTCTAGCAGCTCTATCAACATGGTTTTTGGATGAACCCACCAAAAAAATCAAAAATTTCCATGGGAAAAATTTCAACTTTGCCAAAAAAAAAATTGATTTTCTTTTCCCATCAGGCTGGGCAAAGCCAAATAGAAATGATTTAGTTTTCCAAACCAAAATGTTTCATATAATGTCAAACTGACCCAAATCTGTGTCTGTCTTGAGCTTCTGCAGTGCCTCATGGGAGTTGTAGTTTGGATGCTTCATGCCTCCCATTCTTCTTTGAGTCAGATGCCCCAGCTGGACTATATCTCCCATGCTGCACTGTAGTGTTCCCATTGGTTGAACCACTGCAGTGGCACATGGCCATGGTGCATCATGGGAGATGTAGTCCATCTGGGGACACTGATCTACAGATGGAGGTTTGAGGCTCAATAGCATCTCAGGAGGACACAGATTAAGGCTGAACTAGCTGAAATGAAGTGTTTTGATGTTTCTGAATCATTATCAACCAAATTTGTAATCTCAAACCTGAGTTAATTATTTGATAAGGCCTATTTCCATAAAACAATATTGAGTGGCATTAATTATATTTCTGTCCTCTAATTCTTTATTGATGGAATCCCACATCAGCTTTGTTGTTTTGCCCAGCACTTATATCAGGCTCACTCTGCCTATAATTATCAGGGTCATCTCACTTGCCCTTTTTGCATATTAGCACAGCACTTGCACTCTTCCAGTCCTCTGGAATTTCCCCAGTATTCCAAGGTTTATTAAAAATTGGTCAGATCTCCTCAGCCAACTCTCCTACGGGTCTTGGGTGCAAGTTATCTGGGCCTGCTGATCTTAAAACTTTTATCCCTAGCAGATGCTGTTTAACATTCTCCTTAGTTGTTGCTGTTTATCATTTGTATTACCATAGTGCTTACCCCATTGCGCTAGGCGCTGTACAAACAAAGAACAAAAAGACTGCCTCTGCCCTGAAGAGCTTACAATCTAAGTATAAGACAAGAGACAGCAGATACAGACAGGAGTATAAGGAAACAATGAGACAATATTGGTCAGCATGATAGGCAGTGGTCTCAGCACACCAGCACCCTCGCCCAATGTCAAGTTTTTTGTAAGCATTATGGCAAAGTAGAGTTATGAGGAGGGATTTGAAAGTGGATTATGAAGTAGCTTTGTGGCTGTTTACAGGGAGTTCCTCCAAAGTGTGTGGGGCAGCATGGGAGTAAGCACAAAGGGGCTTGTTTGCAAATTTAACAAGTGAGCAATAGAGGTTGGCATCATGGGCTAGTTGGAGGTCGGAGTCGATATCTTCATGAATAATGAGAGATGTGAGGTAGGGTGAGGACAAATCATGAATGGCCTTAAAAGTAGTTCCTCCTCTAGTAATACACTATCCTGTTTCTTTCCAAATACAGAACAGAAATATGTATTGAACACCTTCTTTGTATCATTATCAGCAACTTTACCATTTCATCTACTACTATTGTTTGGATTTCTTTTGTTCCAGATATACTTTTAAAAACCCTCCTTCTTGTTGCCAGTGCCCTGCCAGCCGTGGACTCTCGCCTGATGTGTTTAGCTTCCCTGCTGTCTCTGTACGTGTTCAGGGACACTGCCCAGCCTGCTCCTAGTAGTCATGAGAGCAGCCAGTGTGCAATGTGGCAGGCCTTGGTGCTGCTGGAATGCACCCCTACACAGCCTGGACACAGTGCATTTTAGAACAGTGTTCACCACCAGTACACTGGGCAAGACACGCCAGGCAAAAGGTTTGTGCATGCTACAGCCTGGCTGATTCTGTGATGTCCCCAGTGCTCTTGCATCTCTCATCTTCTCCTGCCTCTTCTCCCTTACCCACCAGAGTGCAAAAACTTGTCAAACTGATGCTTGTTCTTGGGTGTTCCCCAAGAAACCTGCTAGCCTTCATCTCCCACATCCCCACACCCATCAAAGTCCTTGTGTCAGAGACTACCTCTTCTGAACTGCAGCAGAAGCCCTCCATTGGCTGTTGGGCCCTGAACCTTCTTGGCCCCATGACTGACTCGTGTTTGTGTAAATTACCGTAATCTCATCCCATCCAGATCTGAAAATAAGAGCTGCACAACTCCCAGAAGCCAGCCCCCCACAGCCTTCGCCCACTTGTGCCTTTTATGAACACATGTCTGGCTGTTCCTTTGAAAATCTCTGTACAAATGCCATTTGTGCCCCAAAATCCATATGTGTAAGGGCTCTTTTGGCTGTGCAAGCTTTCAGAAAACTGTCCTGGAATGTGTGGCATCACTAACACTTCCCAGTCCCCCTTTCTCTCATGGCCTCAGTTTACCACCTTCCTCCAACAGTAGATCTGTATTCATGACTCACCAGCCATCCCACGTCCCTCCCCATCTTCCCTGGTTTCTTGTCCCTGGTTAGGTTTCAACAGACAGGTGTTAAATTTAGCGAACAACTCTGTTCTCAGTGATGTGCATGGAAAAGGCCAGATTTCACACTGAAATCTCCTGAGATAGTGCAAAGGGGCCAGAAAGGGCTGCATACAGCCAACAGGGAATTCCCCTGGAATAGGGGAACTTTTTTGCTGGCTTGCACCAGCCTCCTCCCTCCACAGGGGACTGTGACACCTATCCACCAGTGGCTACACGAGTGGCTTAGAGCAGTGTCTCAGTTGCTCTGAGCTTTATTGGGAGTGGCCAATGAGCCCTCAGGAAAAGGCCTGGGTAGAGACCGTCAAATCGTGGAAGTCAACGAATGGCTATGCAGGTGGTGTCGGAGAGAAGGCTTTGGATTTTGACCATGGGATGGTGTTCCAAGAAGGAGGAGTGCTAGGCAGAGACGGGCTCCACCTAACGAAGAGAGGGAAGAGCATCTTCGCAAGCAGGATGGCTAACCTAGTGAGGAGAGCTTTAAACTAGGTTCACCGGGGGAAGGAGACCAAAGCCCAGAGGTAAGTGGGGACGTGGGATACTGGGAGAAAGCACAAGCAGGAGCATGTGAGAGGGGAGGGCTTCTGCCTCATACTAAGAAAGCAGGACAAACAGCAAGTTATCTCAAGTGCCTATACACAAATGTAAGAAGCATGGGAAACAAGCAGGGTCCTGGAAGTCCTGGCACAGTCAAGGAATTATGATGTGATTGGAATAACAGAGACTTGGTGAGATAACTCAAATGACTTGAGCACTGTCATGGATGGATATATTCTGTTCAGGAAGGACAGGCAGGGCAGAAAAGGTGGGGGAGTTGCATTGTATGTAAGAGAGCAGTATGACTGCTCAGAGCTCCGGTACGAAACTGCAGAAAAACCTGAGTGTCTCTGGATTAAGTTTAGAAGCGTGAGCAACAAGGGTGATGTCGTGGTGGGAGTCTGCTATAGACCACCGGACCAGGGGGATGAGTTGGACGAGGCTTTCTTCTGGCAACTAACGGAAGTTACTAGATCGCAGGCCCTGGTTCTCATGGGAGGTTTCAATCACCCTGGTATCTGCTGGGAGAGCAATACAGCAGTGCAGAGACAATCCAGGAAGTTTTTGGAAAGTGTAGGGGACAATTTCCTGGTGCAAGTGCAGGAGGAACCAACTAGGGGCAGAGCTCTTCTTGACCTGCTGCTCACAAACCAGGAAGAATTAGTAGAGGAAGCAAAAGTGGATGGGAACCTGGGAGGCAGTGACCATGAGATGGCCGAGTTCAGGATCCTGACACAGGGAAGAAAGGAAAGCAGCAGAATACGGACCCTGTACTTCAGAAAAGCAGATTTTGACAACCTCAGGGAACTGATGGGCAGGATCCCCTGGGAGAATAACATGAGGGGGAAAGGAGTCTAGGAGAGCTGGCTGTATTTTAAAGAATCCTTATTGAGGTTACAGGGACAAACCATCCCGATGTGTAGAAAGAATAGTAAATATGGCAGGCGACCAACTTGGCTTAACAGTGAAATCCTTGCTGATCTTAAACACAAAAAAGAAGCTTACAAGAAGTGGAAGATTGGACAAATGACCAGGGAAGAGTATAAAGATATTGCTCAGGCATGCAGGAGGGAAATCAGGGAGGCCAAATCACATCTGGAGGTGCAGCTAGCAAGAGATGTTAAGAGTAACAAGAAGGGTTTGTTCAGGTATGTTAGCAACAAGAAGAAAGTCAAGGAAAGTATGGGCCCCTTACTGAATGAGGGAGGCAACCTAGTGACAGAGGATGTGGAGAAAGCTAATGTACTCAATGCTTTTTTTGCCTCTGTCTTCACAAACAAGGTCAGCTCCCAGACTGCTGCACTGGGCAGCACAGCATTGGGAGAAGGTGACCAGCCCTCTGTGGAGAAAGAAGTGATTCGGGACTATTTAGAAAAGCTGGATGAGCACAACTCCATATGGCCGGATGCGCTGAATCCGAGAGTGCTAAAGGAGTTGGCGGATGTGATTGCAGAGCCATTGGCCATTATCTTTGAAAACTCATGGCGATCGGGGGAGGTCCCGGACAACTGGAAAAAGGCTAATGTAGTGCCCATCTTTAAAAAAGGGAAGAAGGAGGATCCTGGGAACTACAGGCCAGTCAGCCTCACCTCAGTCCCTGGAAAAATCGTGGAGCAAGTCCTCAAGGAATCAATTCTGAAGCACTTAGAGGAGAGGAAAGTGATCAGGAACAGTCAGCATGGATTCATCAAGGGCAAGTCATGCCTGCCTAATCTAATTGCCTTCTAATGACGAGATAACTGGCTCTGTGGATGAGGGAAAAGCAGTGGACGTGTTGTTCCTTGACTTTAGCAAAGCTTTTGACACTGTCTCCCACAGTATTCTTGCCAATAAGTTAAAGAACTATGGGCTGGATGAATGGACGATAAGGAGGATAGAAAGCTGGCTAGATTGTCGGGCTCAACGGGTAGTGATCAATGGCTCCATGTCTAGTTGGCAGCCGATATCAAGTGGAGTGCCCCAAGGTTCGGTCCTGGGGCCGATTTTGTTCAATATCTTCATTAATGATGTGGAGGATGGTGTGGATTGCACCCTCAGCAAGTTTGCAGATGACACTAAACTGGGAGGAGAGGTAGATATGCTGGAGGGTAGGGATAGGATACAGAGGGCCCTAGACAAATTAGAGGATTGGTGCAAAAGAAATCTGATGAGGTTCAACAAGGACAAGTGCAGAGTCCTGCACTTAGGACAGAAGAATCCCATGCACAGCTACAGACTAGGGACCGAATAGCTAGGCAGCAGTTCTGCAGAAAAGGACCTAGGGGTTACAGTGGACAAGAAGCTGGATATGAGTCAACAGTGTGCCCTTGTTGCCAAGAAGGCCAATGGCATTTTGGGATGTATAAGTAGGGGCATTGCCAGCAGATCGAGGGACGTGATTGTTCCCCTCTATTCGACATTGGTGAGGCCTCATCTGGAGTACTGTGTCCAGTTTTGGGCTCCACACTACAAGAAGGATGTGGAAAAATTGGAAAACATCCAGCGGAGGGCAACAAAAATGATTAGGGGACTGGAACACATGACTTATGAGGAGAGGCTGAGGGAACTGGGCTTGTTTAGTCTGCGGAAGAGAAGAATGAGGGGGGATTTGATAGCTGCTTTCAACTACCTGAAAGAGGGTTCCAAAGAGGATGGCCCTAGACTGTTCTCAGTGGTAGCAGATGACAGAACGAGGAGTAATGGTCTCAAGTTGCGGTGGGGGAGGTTTAGGTTGGATATTAGGAAAAACTTTTTCACTAGGAGGGTGGTGAAACACTGGAATGCATTACCTAAGGAGGTGGTGGAATCTCCTTCCTTAGAAGTTTTAAAGGTCAGGCTTGACAAAGCCCTGGCTGGGATGATTTAGTTGGGGATTGGTCCTGCTTTGAGCAGGGGGTTGGACTAGATGACCTCCTTAGGTCCCTTCCAACCCTGATATTCTTTGATTCTATGATCCGCGATGTTCCCTCGCCGGAGCTTAGGCACAGCCAGCAGGATTTCTTACCTTGTGCATCATATCCAATTGTTTTCTGCCAGCATTGTGCATCGCATGATGTCACTGAGAAGACAACGATAAGGAGGCCTAACATGTGCATCTGTAAATGACAGACGACTCAATCATAGTCACTTGAAGGTTCATAGCTCAAAAATCGCTTATTGGCATAGAAATCATCAGGACAAATCTCCTTATTGATGAATACATTCACAGAGGGAAGCTACTGCTTAGCGAAGCACTTAAGCATGTGCTTAATTTTAATTTAACTTACTTAACCTATTTAAGCCTATGGTTACTTGCTCTGCTGGATCAAAGCCTTAGAATCAGGTGGAGGCTTTTTCTACAGGGGTAGAAATCCCTGGGAGCAATTGTGGATATGAACCTTATCTTCATATAAGTAGTCCATTTATTATAGTGACATCCCATTCTGCTCAGTTGGAGAATTTAACTCCACCCACACTATTTCTTTGTTTGGTTATGCCCGACCTTTTCTGATGCCCACACCAGGAGATCAGATTTCTGTGCTCTTCATTTCCACCTATTAATATTCCAGCAGTTGGCAATGCTTCAGAATTCCCCAGGGGATAGCACTTGACCATCTAATAAAAAGTATCAGACTTGGAAAGCTCACTCCATACTGTTGCACTGTAGAAATTATTTATACTGCATTCGGGTCAGAGAGAGCTCGTTGCAGTCGGTCAAAGGAATAATAGCACCTTGCCACCTTGCTTAGAGGGTGTGTTCTTTTCATCATAGTCTGATGTAGTCATGCATGAGTGCCTTTCAGTTTAGTCCCAGAACTAGATACATCTTTTGGCCTGTCTATATGAGAGAAATTTAGCTCATTAGTCTCTGTTTGGCCCAGTCCCTGTGTCAGCATTTTACTTGCTATACAATCACAGGTTTCAGAGTAGTAGCCGTGTTAGTCTGTATTCGCAAAAAGAAAAGGAGGACTTGTGGCACCTTAGAGACTAACCAATTTGAGCATAAGCTTCGATGAAGTGAGCTGTAGCTCAGGAAAGCTTATGCTCAAATAAATTTGTTAGTCTCTAATGTGCCACAAGTACTCCTTTTCTTTATACAATCACAGTGACTCACACCACCCTTGTACAAAAGCCACCTGATTCTAAGCCTCTTCGTATCACTGAGGGTGGTACAAAGGGGCCAGAAACTGGCTGTATACAGGCAGCAGGGAATTCCCTTGGCAACAGGCAAACTTTCTGCTGGCAAAAAGATGCTGCAGCCAAGTACTGCAGAAGCTTCCTTCCAACCCCAGTGTAGGGCAAATATCGGGATGGTCACACTTGTCTTCCACTAGCATGGAGCCATAACCTGAGCACCCCCTCAGTTGCTCTGTGCTTTGAGACTGATCCAAATCAGGGAGCCATAACTGGTTTCCTGGTGCTCCCCCTCCAGAGCTTGGGCACAGAGGAAAGTCCGACCCTGAGACTTTGTGTGCCTGCATGAATTTAGAATAGCAATATCTATTGTTTTTTCCTCTTGTGTCCTTAATCATGAAGGCTGAATTTGATGGTCATTTTAGGCCGAGCTCCTTCTGGTTCCATTTTAGAGGTGGAGGGCTGGAGGCTGGGTCACCTCTCATCATCTGAGTGAATTTAGTGCTGGCCAAACAAGGAATACATGACCTCTGCTGAAATTGCCAAGAGTGACAATCAATGGTGGTTATAGTGCAGACATTCTTCCACTAGGAGCTGCATTGAGACTAGAGCTGGCCTAATAATTCACTGCAAACAATATTCTGCACAAATGTGGGCATTTTCCCCCACACCAACAGGTTTTTTTTACAAATGAATGATTCCAATAGAGACTCCCAGCTCAGTTCACACAGGCGGCAAACAGCCTTCAGGTGGTATTAGCCATTTGTGATTCCCAACTTCCCTGAGAGGGAGCGAAATCAGCAACCTAGAGAGAACTCCACCTGAGTCTTCACCATGTCTTTATGTAGAGCTGAACAAATGCATGTCTCTGATGTGACATGTCGGCTGCTGCGTTAGAGCCCAATGGTAACTTTTGTAAGTGAGTCTTATTTTAATGTATCTAGTCCGCTAGGTGTTTTTCGAGGAATCTTCAGTTGAATTACTTAACTACAGGAAAAAGAAAAGGAGTACTTGTGGCACCTTGGAGACTAACCAATTTATTTGAGCCTAAGATTTCGTGAGCTACGGCTCACTACGAAAGCTTATGCTCAAATAAATTGGTTAGTCTCTAAGGTGCCACAAGTACTCCTTTTCTTTTTGCGAATACAGACTATCACGGCTGCTACTCTGAAACCTGTAACTACAGGCTGTATCAACTAAAATTCTCATTGGAAGTCTGTGAACGTTTAAAAGCATGTCAAGGCTGCAGAGTTTGGCTCTTTGCTTTTATTTATAATATGAGCTAATCTCCCAGCAGCCAGCCTTTTAGATCACTTTACATGAGACAGAAGAGAGGGATTCTAAATATCCCTACAATCAGACAGATTTTTACAGTGCTGGCAAAAAACAAACGAACACTGAGTCTCCCTCTCTGTGTCTCTCACTCCCAGCACCTGTGAGTTTTCTTTTAAATTCATTGTCATTTTATAATTGATTTAAACTTGAAATCCTCTCAGATAAGGAAATATACAAGTCAGACAAGAAGTTATTTTATGTAGCAACTGGGAAGCTTTCCCTAAGAAAACCCAAAATCTGTATTTTAAAATTGCAATGTGTCCCTCCTGTTCTTACAAGAGGAAAGACATGTGTTGACTCACCATTATTCCAGAGTGTGTTCCTTCCAAAGCACACGTCCAGCCTGAGTAACACCTTTGTTTGCAGTGAATTATCATATAGCACCGGAGTCTAGAGACAGACTAGCTGAGCCCTGCACAAACAAACCACAGTTGCCTATTATGCAAAGACCTCACATATATAGGCATCACTAAGATTTGAATAATGTTTAGCAAGAAGGTTTGGTTCAAAATAGAACCAGTGGACTGGTCCTGCCCCTTCTTGGTGGCTGCAGAGAGCCCAGATGTAGTGAAATTGGTGCAAACAGACAAGATTTGGGATGCCCTTGCAGGACTCCAGGCTCCTCTGCATCCAAACAGTACAGACCTATTGTGTTCCTGCAGAGCAAATGTGTGGGCAGGTCTGGGGAGCAGCACGGTGAGGTCTGGTGGATGACTTGGTTGCTTGCAGGTGAAACAAAAAAGTAGGAAGAGGGAAGGGTTCTATTGTTCCTGTTGCCTTCATACAGGTCACTGGGGTTTCAAAAGAAGCATCTTTGCCAAGACCTCCCTGTTGCAAAGACTGGCATTAAGGGCTAACATTTCAGCATAGTGAGCAGAGGTTGCATGTAGCAATGTAGTTGTACCAGTCACTTCCCACCTGGTGCTGAAAGTTTAGCCACAGGAGAAAGCTTAAGTTAAAGAAGGATTATTTCAACAAATGGATTGTCTTCAAATGTACTTGTCCCTTTCCCCCAACTGCTTTGTCCCCTTGCTCCCTGCAGTAGGAGTTGTGATATAGTATGTTCAAAATGGTCACTTGAGTGTGTAACCCTTCTGTCAGTGGTGTTGGTAGCAACAATATCCAGGGGTTCCTCTTGACAGTACAAAACAGAACTAGCTTGAGCCTCCACCCAGCAATCTGGGAAAAGTAAATCCCACCCCTGGGCACCTCTAAGAGGCAACACTTCCCACTGGCAAGCACTGAGTCTGTGTGTAACAAAAGAAAATGTTTAATACAAGGGAAAGGGAATCCAGCATTAATGTGGGTAAACACCACAACCATGACTCAACAACGTGTAACCATAAGCAAACATCCACCCTATGGTATGTTGGGCAGTGTCCTTTGCTTCAGTTTCCCACCTTGGACTGTGAAAGTCACTTCAACCCAGCACGCCCCTTTTCCTGCGCTGCTCCCCAGCGCTGAGCTGATTGTCCTCGATCAGTGAATCCTGAGTTCAGAGGTGGGTTCACCCCCCTCCCCTGGAAAAAGCAGGGAAAGCTCATTGAGCAGTGATTCCACTGCTGCTACCACCTCTGCACGTGGCTCTTGTTTGCTGCTGCTCAGCTCCTCTACTGACACTGGCATGGCTGTGATGCCATGCTCTGAGGTTTCACTGCTTCGCCCGGCTCTTAGCGATTTCCTGGGTAGTACGGAACCTCACCGCTAGTGCAGCCTCTGCATTCTCCTTCACTGCAACACTGTCTCCCCGCCACCAGATCTAAGGCTTAGCACCTAGACCTGCTTGTCAGTGATTTCAGCTCTGGTAATAGCTCAACAGAAACAAGGATCTCAGCTGAGTCCAGTTAGCTCTGTCTTTAATCACTGGAGAGGGGAGGGTCAAAGTCTGTCCAGGACTCTTTAAGCAGCAGCTCCACTGGCTATGCAGGAACACCTGTCCCCATCCCCTTGACTTTCACTGAGATTTGGCATCCCTACCTCATGCTTAGCAAGTTAAGGGTGCATCCATGCAAATATGGGCTGCTCCTGAAGTCTCTTCCCCCAGTTTGTCACTAGATATCCGGGGAAAGGTCATTTGGTCCCTGCTAATAACTTCTGTATTCACGTCCTATTACCTGTGAACATGATGCCAAGCCAATGTCATGCCAGCCAGTGAACAGAGGCCACTGAGTTACAAAGGCTAGCGCCTCAGTACAGGGGTTACAAAGTGTGGCTGTGCTGTGTCCCCATTTAACAGGGCTGATCCTGCACCCCAGGCGCTGGGATTTGATAGGGAGGAACCGACCTGAGCTGTACTGATCACACCTGCCCTGCCTGTCTGTTCATGCAGCATTGATTTAAACTCCAAAGCCCTTTCCTAGCATGCACTGGCCATAGTCTGAAAGCAGGGATGCATTCTCTTGGGGCAGATGCTTCTTTGGTTGGTTTTTCTGTGGGAGGGAAGGTGAGAGGGAAGGGTGGTGGCCCTGCTCTGGTCATTGGCCACTGAGAATAGGAAAGGAAGTCACCTAGTGTCACCTGAATACCCTGGGGATGAGGGACCTGGGTTCCATGCACAGTGGGTGCTGGTAAGTCAGGCTTCTGCCCCCTCCCCCTGTACAACCACCTCTGAAGATGACTCAGGTAATGCTGGGCAGGAAGACTTGTG